AAAATATAAATTTAAAACTAACTTTTTCACTTCCGTTAAATGAAGGGTATATGTGAGCTCATTTTGTAACGGTAGGGGTATATGTGAGCCGTTTGTATAACGGTAAGGGTATATATGAGCCACTTTCATAACGAGGGGCATATCAGCTCCAAATGACAAAGTTGAGGGGTATATCAGGCCCTTTTCCCTTGATTTAAAAATACTTCAAGGTGTGGAGCTTCGATAAGGGTCTAGGGCAATAAATGATATGACAGATGTAATCTTAGATCAAAAGTTTAACGGATAACGAATAGTCCATAAAAGGTCAATCAATTTTTCTAATTCAATTTGGATTTGGCAATGGTATCAAATTATGAAAATCACATGGTGGTTCCATATTTTCCTCATTATTTAGCAACTAGACCACGTAATTACCTAAACCTTGGACTTTGAAACAATCATTCTCTTACCTAATTAAGAGGTGTTTATGACACTGTATTAACTGGCTATTGAGGTCTTCTTCAATTAAAAAAAATAATAGAATCATAGATTAACAACTTTTGGTCTTTCGATTATTGATACGATTAAATTTTAGTCCTGTTGATATATGACTAATTAGCATTTACAACTGTCAATGACTTGAATGTGCACTTTTAATCCTTTTGCTTATGAATATTCACAAATTTGTAGTGTTAATTTCTTAGCCATCAACACTCATTGTACTATGCAACTTTCCTAATATACATGTATATACATATCCAAAGTTAGGGGCGGAGGTAACCTTCAGGATATTGACGATGTAAATCTGTTAAAATAAATATGTTCAAAACATAAATTTACTAGCATGTGAGGTTGCCGTCCTAAAAATAGCACGTTCTCATAAAATTAAAATTTTAGGTCCGTCTCTATTAGTTCAAAGTCAACCACAACAGCTAAACCAAAAGGACCATTATTATGAGATCTCAGTGTTCATTGAGGCAACATGTGCAGGAAAATCAAAATATATATTTAATGGAAAGAAAGTGGAAATATTAAAGTGGAAATATTAAAAGTTAGCAATCATTTTCCAATACAACATTTTATGGCATGTGTCTCTTTGTAGCAGGTAATTGTTACTACAACTTGTTATATAGATATTGTGGAAATATTCAAAGTGATATTTTACTATATTTTAAGTCAATGATTATCAATTAGAACAATTGAATTAGTCCCTTAGACAGCTCTAAACCAAAGGCTACTTCCTATGAAGTGTTACTATAAATACATAGGCTATGAATCCCCAAAAGACATCACTTCTCAACTGAAAAACTATAGGTTATATCCTTTCTTCTTCCTCTAACTAGCCACATTTGGGGCTAGGTGGTGTAATTTTCCGGTGAAATGAGGCTTCAAGGTGGCGGCCCTGCCAAGGGTCGTCAATATTTGCCACAAATCTTAACGGTGTTGGTTATATTGGTTGTTGCTAATGTAGTGTCAGCAGACCCTTATGTATACTCTTCTCCACCACCTCCACCGTATGAGTACAAGTCACCACCGCCTCCTTCTCCTTCTCAGCCACCACCTTATGTGTACAAATCTCCACCTCCTCCCTCACCTTCTCCCCCGCCTCCATATGTTTATAAGTCACCTCCTCCTCCTTCTCCATCTCCACCTCCTCCATATGTGTATACGTCTCCACCCCCTCCATCGCCATCTCCACCGCCACCATATGTGTATAAGTCCCCACCACCTCCCTCACCATTTCCACCTCCACCATATTACTATAAATCTCCTCCTCCACCATCACCTTCACCACCACCTCCATATTACTACAAGTCTCCACCTCCACCTTCACAGTCGCCTCCACCACCATACTATTACAAATCTCCACCACCACCTTCACCATCACCTCCTCCACCATATTATTATAAGTCTCCACCCCCACCTTCTCCTTCACCTCCTCCACCGTATTATTATAAATCTCCACTACCTCCTTCACCTTCTCCCCCACCACCTTATTACTACAAGTCTCCACCTCCTCCATCACCATCACCACCACCACCACCACCATACTACTACAAGTCTCCTCCTCCTCCATCACCATCACCACCACCACCTTACTATTACAAGTCTCCACCACCACCTTCACCTTCACCTCCTCCACCGTACTATTACAATTCTCCACCACCACCAGTGAAGTCTCCCCCTCCACCATATTACTACTCATCACCACCACCACCAAAGAAATCACCTCCCCCACCTTATCACTACACTTCTCCACCACCACCTGTTAAGTCATCACCTCCTCCATATTACTACTCCTCACCACCACCACCAAAGAAATCACCTCCTCCACCATATCACTACAGTTCCCCACCACCACCAGTTAAGTCACCTCCAACTCCATACTACTATAAGTCTCCACCACCACCACCAAAGAAGTCTTCTCCCCCACCATACTACTATACTTCACCACCACCACCAACTCACTACTATCCTCCACATCATCAATTCGTGGTCAAAGTTGTTGGCAAAGTCTATTGTTTTAGATGTTATGATTGGAAGCATCCAGAAATGTCTCATGGCAAGAAACACCTAAAAGGTACCATAGACTTTATAATTTATATATACTACACTCAAGCAACATTGTTTGTTCTTACCAGAAGTGGAAATATCTAAATGATAATTTATTAACAACTCAATTAATTTCATGTTAACTGATGTATTATTTCTTTTTTATACATGAATTAGGTGCTGTTGTTGAAGTGACTTGCAAGGCTGGTGACAAGGAAATTGTGAGTTATGGTACCACTAAGATCAATGGCAAATTTAGCATCACAGTTGAAGGATTTGAATATCGCAAATATGGAGCAAAGGCTTGCAAGGCTAAACTCCACAATGCTCCAAAGGATTCGAAGTGTAGCATTCCTACAAATCTTCATTGGGGAATTAAGGGTGCTAATCTCAAAGTGAAGTCAAAGAATAAATATGAAGTTGTTCTCTATGCAAAACCATTTGCTTATGGCTCTAAGACACCTTACGCGAAATGCCAAAAGCCCAAGCCTACACCTGCTCCGTATTATTATAAATCACCTCCACCACCATCACCAACTTACGTTTATAAGTCACCACCTCCTCCATCACCAACATATGTTTACAAGTCACCACCTCCTCCAACTCCGGCATACGTTTACAAGTCTCCACCACCACCTACTTATTATTACAAGTCTCCACCTCCACCATCACCAAAACCTTCACCTATATACTATTATAAATCACCACCACCTCCATCACCATCGCCTCCACCTCCTTACTATTACAAATCTCCACCACCACCAACTAAGTCTCCACCACATCCTTATTACTACAAATCTCCACCTCCACCATCACCAAAACCTGCACCTGTATACTATTATAAATCACCACCACCCCCATCACCATCACCACCCCCACCTTACTACTACAAGTCTCCACCACCACCATCTCCTTCACCTCCTCCACCATACTACTATAAGTCCCCACTACCACCATCACCATCTCCTCCACCACCATACTACTACAAGTCCCCTCCTCCCCCGTCACCTTCTCCTCCTCCACCATACTACTATAAGTCACCACCACCACCGTCACCATCTCCCCCACCACCCTACTACTACAAGTCTCCTCCACCACCGTCACCATCTCCCCCACCACCATACTACTATAAGTCACCACCACCACCTTCACCGTCTCCTCCACCACCCTATTATTACAAGTCTCCACCACCACCATCACCATCACCTCCACCACCCTACTACTACAAGTCTCCTCCTCCTCCATCACCTTCTCCCCCTCCACCATACTACTACAAGTCACCACCACCTCCATCACCATCTCCTCCACCACCCTACTACTACAAGTCGCCTCCTCCACCATCGCCTTCTCCCCCACCTCCTTACTACTATCACTCTCCCCCTCCACCAGTAAAGTCTCCTCCCCCTCCTTATTACTATAGCTCACCTCCTCCACCAGTATATATTTACGCTTCACCACCACCTCCCATTCACTACTAAGAAATTTCAAGTGTTCAATCATTCTCCACAATCAATCAAGTGAGTTGACATTTGAATTGTGATTCTTTTTCACAGATTAATTTAGTCTACTTCTTTTCTTTGAATTAAGGCTCTAATTTTCTTTTTGATTGTTTCTTTTCAGGTTTTAGTTTGAAGCACAAAATAAATTATGATGGCTTCTTGAGGAGAAGATTCAAACGTCAATGGAACAATGCTTCATAGTGTTTATTTCTTTGTAATTTATTGTTTGTATTGAGGATATCCTCAAATTATTCATTCCTACTAATTAAATTGTATTTTGTTAGTTTGTGCACAAATCAATAAGAAGGTCAATTTGGTCCCAAATGATATATAGCTTCATAACAACGATTATTTTTCACAAGCAAAATTGATCAATAATAACCAAGTACTGAATAAAATTGTGATTCAAAATCGTTATAATTATAAAGGAAAATGACTTTCGCCTAAAAGTGAGAAACGTCATATGGCAGAAAAAATATTAGGCATAACATATAAATGTGTTTTTTAATTTGACTTCAATTGGTATCCATGTCCTCAAACTTTGAGTGCACACAAGTAGATACTTAAAAACTTGTATATAATTGAACAAGTAGACGCACACGTCTTATGTGACATATTACACGTAGGATGCGACATGTAGGATGCAAATTGTCACATAGGACGTCATGTAAAAGGTATGTATATGCTTGTTTAATTTTGTACAAGTTTTAGTGGTTACTTATGTACACTTAAAGTTGAAGGACATAAATATCAGTTGAAGCCAAATTAAAAATCATATTTATGTATAATGCCAAAATATTCTCTTACAACCAAGCATCAAAAAAATTAAAAAAAATCATATAAAATTTCCCATCATAATGCGCCAAAAAGGATAAAAATCCATTTCTAGTTTGTTCTATGCTTTTGATGATCCTTTTTGCAAAAATTGGACCAATAAAAAGCTGCAAAAAAAACTATAAGTATTGCATCCACATGTAGTTGATCTCATCATTGAGAATTCACATGCATTTTCAAATATTATTACAATGAAAATACTTATATAAGAAAAAAGAATATAGTTACAAAATATGTAAATATATAGTTTGATCCTTATTTTGTGGTCCAATCAATTGATCATATATGCACTTTTGATCAATCTGACATTGAACTTTAATAAATTAGTGAATTATTAAGAGTTAACTTATTCAATTATCAATATGTTATTTTAAATTTGTATTGTTACTTCATATTTTAGGATAATATAATTCTGAAAATAGTTTAAATATAGCATATTTCGGTACATGAAGGGATAAATCCACTTTTTAACTCATTAAATTTGAATGTGTTTCGTCTAATATTACAAGGATCAAAACCTAAATTCATTAGTAATTGAGGGAACAAACATATAATATCCTCATTAAGAAATAATAATAAAAAATAAAGTAACAATTAGGGAGGAAATTAAAGTCAACTAAGGAAATAATTGAACTTATGTCGGCTTGTAATTTTAAATTAGTATAATGTCAGAACTAATATCCAATATTCCCTGTAATTAAACAAAAATGACAGAAATATTCTCTTATTATATATATATATATATATATACACTTACAATTCAGAAATGTGTAATAAACAAAACAAACATGATTAGGTAATTCTTTATTTATTTTTAGGGGTTTTTTCATCTGGTGTTTAGTGTCTGGTGTCTAGTTTCTGTTTTGTAGTTCAATAACTCAAATTCACGTCAAAACATTTCATATTGGACGATAAAACGCTCCTTATAAAAAATGATTGAATTAAATTCGGACCATTTCTTGATTTGTGCATGTCATGCCAAGTCTCCACAAGCAATGTAACTAAACTAACATTGTATAGCATTTTAGAGTACTTCCATTTGTAATTGTTGAAACATTTCAATCTTAAAGAAATTGTTGTATTACAAATTAAGTTTCTAGTCCACAATTTACAAAATAATTTGTACTCTAAATCAAGACAATTTTGTCTTTTCCGTCATAATCATAGTATTAGGAACTTATCGGCTCAACTAATTCAAATTTCCTATGCATAGGGCCTATTCTCCCTACCAGTAATATCTTCATTCCTAAAATTCAATCTCGAAACCTCGTTAAAGTAAAGAATCGTCCACCTCGTGATAATCCATAATGTTATGCAAAAGATATTTAAGAACATACTACATAATGAATAATTATTTGTAAATAGAAAAACACAAATAATTGTGAGATCTCACTCTCTATGAGACAAAACAAAAAGTTCAAAAATGCAAGAGAAGTGGAAATAATTTTAAATTAGCACTCACTTGCCTTAAACCATTTTATGATATGTTTATATTTACTTGTTAAAGAAGTTGCATGGAAAATTCAAAGTGATCTAGTAATGGACTTTAAAAATAAAAATAAAATAAAAAATTCATCTAGCTGTTTTAAGTTCTTAATAATTTTAATCATTGATTAACAATCAGATTAATTGAATTGGTCACTTGTTGACAACTCTATACCAGCTAGTAGTTATTCTTAAAATGTTACTATAAATACTTTGTACACTCAATCAACTAAATTCATCACTTCTCAACTATAACACTATAGTCTTCCTCTCTTTTTTTTCTTCAAGTTTTTGGAGATTTTTGTAGCCATATTTGAGGGGTGGGTGGTTGTGTTTTCCGGCGAAAATGAAGTTTAACGGTGGCGGCCCCACAAGGGGTCGTCGTTTGCGGCTGATCTTAGTGGCTTTGGCCGTATTGGTTGTGGCAAATGTAGTATCGGCTGACCCTTATGTATATTCTTCTCCACCTCCTCCCGCGTATGAGTACAAGTCACCACCACCTCCTTCTCCTTCTCCGCCTCCACCTTACGTATACAAATCTCCACTTCCTCCTTCACCTTCTCCCCCGCCTCCATATGTCTATACTTCTCCACCTCCTCCTTCACCATCTCCACCACCACCATATGTATACAAGTCTCCACCACCTCCATCTCCCTCTCCACCACCACCATATGTATACAAGTCTCCACCTCCCCCGTCACCATCACCACCTCCACCGTATTACTACAAGTCACCTCCTCCGCCATCACCTTCACCACCACCACCATACTACTATAAATCTCCTCCACCACCTTCACCATCACCCCCGCCACCATATTATTACAAATCTCCACCACCACCCTCACCATCACCACCTCCACCATACTACTATAAATCTCCACCACCTCCTTCGCCTTCTCCACCACCACCTTACTATTACAAATCTCCTCCACCACCATCACCGTCATCTCCACCACCTTACTACTATAAATCTCCACCGCCTCCTAAGTCTTCACCACCCCCACCTTACTACTACAACTCCCCACCCCCACCCAAGAAGTCACCTCCACCACCATATTACTATAGTTCTCCACCACCCCCGAAGAAGTCTCCTCCTCCACCATACTACTACAACTCTCCTCCACCACCAAAGAAATCACCTCCTCCACCATATCACTACACTTCACCACCACCACCAGCTAAGTCACCTCCTCCACCATACTACTACAGCTCTCCTCCACCACCAAAGAAATCACCTCCTCCACCGTATCACTACACTTCTCCACCACCACCAGCTAAGTCGTCTCCTTCACCATACTACTACACTTCACCACCACCACCAAAGAAATCATCTCCTCCACCATACTACTACACTTCCCCACCACCACCTACTCACTATTATCCTCCACATCATCACTTTGTAGTCAAGGTTGTTGGAAAAGTTTACTGTTTTAGATGCTATGATAAGGAATACCCAGAAAAGTCTCATGCTAAGAAGCACCTCAAAGGTACAAATATATGTTTTACTTCAATTTATTTCAAATTTTTTATTCTTTACAATTTACTATTCATCATTAGAAGTGTCTTTGTAAATTAAATTTATTTTTAGTATTCATTGAGTATTATTTCTTCTTTCTATGAATTAGGTGTTGTTGTTGAAGTGACTTGCAAGGCCGGTGACAAAGAAATTGTGAGTTATGGTACCACTAAGATCAATGGCAAATTTAGCATCACTGTTGAAGGATTTGAATATAGCAAATATGGAGCAAAGGCTTGCAAGGCTAAACTCCACAATGCTCCTAAGGATTCAAAGTGTAGCATTCCTACAAATCTTCATTGGGGAATTAAGGGTGCTAACCTCAAAGTGAAGTCAAAGAATAAATATGAAGTTGTACTCTATGCAAAACCATTTGCTTATGGCTCTAAGACACCTTATGCCGAATGCAAAAAACCCAATCCTACACCTGCTCCATACTACTATAAATCTCCTCCACCTCCATCACCAACTTATGTTTATAAGTCACCACCTCCTCCATCACCAACATATGTTTACAAGTCACCACCTCCCCCAACCCCGACATACGTTTATAAATCCATACTATTATAAGTCACCACCACCACCGTCACCTTCTCCTCCACCTCCTTACTACTACAAGTCTCCTCCACCACCATCACCAAAACCTGCACCAGTATACTATTATAAGTCACCACCACCACCGTCACCTTCTCCTCCACCTCCTTACTACTACAAGTCTCCTCCACCACCATCACCAAAACCTGCACCTGTATACTATTACAAATCACCGCCACCACCATCACCCTCTCCACCACCACCTTACTACTACAAGTCCCCACCCCCACCATCACCGTCTCCTCCACCACCTTACTACTACAAGTCCCCACCGCCACCATCACCTTCTCCCCCTCCACCATACTACTACAAGTCTCCTCCACCCCCATCATCATCTCCTCCACCACCTTACTACTACATGTCTCCACCACCCCCATCACCATCACCTCCACCACCCTACTATTACAAGTCTCCTCCTCCACCATCCCCATCACCACCTCCACCCTACTACTACAAGTCACCACCTCCACCGTCACCTTCTCCTCCACCTCCTTACTACTACAAGTCTCCTCCACCACCATCACCAAAACCTGCACCTGTATACTATTACAAATCACCGCCACCACCATCACCCTCTCCACCCCCACCTTACTACTACAAGTCCCCACCCCCACCATCACCGTCTCCTCCACCACCTTACTACTACAAGTCCCCACCGCCACCATCACCTTCTCCCCCTCCACCATACTACTACAAGTCTCCTCCACCCCCATCATCATCTCCTCCACCACCTTACTACTACATGTCTCCACCACCCCCATCACCATCACCTCCACCACCCTACTATTACAAGTCTCCTCCTCCACCATCCCCATCACCACCTCCACCCTACTACTACAAGTCACCACCTCCACCGTCACCTTCTCCTCCACCTCCCTACTATTACCACTCTCCACCTCCACCAGTAAAATCTCCTCCTCCCCCCTACTACTACAACTCACCTCCTCCACCCGTGAAATCACCTCCTCCACCAGTATACATTTACGCCTCTCCACCACCTCCAACCCACTACTAAGTTCTAAAAAGAGCTTAGGCATTCTCCATAACCAATTAAGTAAGTGACTCTTTCTATTTTTCCTATGAGATCAACCTCTTATTCTTCTTATAATTCAATTAAGGTTCTAACATTGTGTTTCATTTTTCATTTTTTAGATCCTAGTTTGAGGAGAAACTCCAAACATCATTGGCACGAAGCAGTTAACATGGAGCAATTTGTTTCTTCTTCTCTTGTGGCCTTCTTGCACATTGTTATCATTGTATCTTCTTGGTGGAAGCTTCAACAACTTAATTAATTATTCCTCATAGGAAGAAAATAATTTGTTAGTGGTCCTTTGAGGTGTATCTGACTTTGATATTTCAAAGGCTTTAATTTATTCATTTTCCATTAGTTATAACAACTTGTTTTTGTGTATCTTCATGTGCTTTATGCACCAAATCAATAAAAGATGAAATTTGTTCTTTTCATTGTTTTGTCTTGTTCCTTTTGCAAACATGTTACAAATTTGTTTATTCATATTCATGTTGATTTATTAGTAAGTTTTCACTTTCTTGACTAATCCAATGTGATGCAAAATAATCAAGAATCTCCAATCACCCCCAAATTATTTATATTGTAAATCTATCAAAAGCAACCCACAATTAGATTTTTGTGAGGCATATAGAGAGGTTGTTTTTGATAGACTCTCGGCTAAAAAAATGTCAGCAATGAAGAAAAAGTAAGAAAGAAAAAGAGAGAACAAAATAGCAATGTACAAAACAAGTGTAGCAACAGCTATTAACGCATGTTGGAGAAAAAGAAACTATGTGATACCTAAATCATAATACTATAGAGATATGAAAACTTAATATTACCAATTAATCTTCGACCTCCATATTTTCCTATTTATGGTCATGCCCTCGGTAAGCTATGTCCTACCATGTCATACTTAATTCACCTCCGCCCCCAAATTTCTCTATGGCCTGCCTCTACCTCTCCTAACTACGCAATACCTAAATCATATTACTAGAAGTTTTGCCATGGCTTATAGGAACTCTTTGATGGAGGTGTTAAACGTGGTGACAATTTTAGCGGCAAAATAAGTTACATTTTTCAATAATAATTGCGTACTCTTTTCACTTAGATTAATATTTTTCTTCTTAGTTAAATGTTTGTTGAATAAATAAATAATCAAATGCTAGAGTGCTTGGAGTTGATTCACTAAGCATTTTTATTTATATATATTTGCTGGTAAAGTTGACATACGGGTTCAATGTTGACAAATTGCTTATAGTCCGAGTTTTCAAATATCGACTGCTAGATCATATACATTTGTATACTCGAGTGTTCCCGACCTTTTGTGGAGGTAGAGAGGTTGTTTGACCTTCAGGATTGCAAATTAATAATACTAGTAATTAGTAGTTACTAATAATGAGGAGAGGAGGTGGCTACTCTAATCCTCAACCATTCGGGGGTCATGTCTTCGATAAACAAAAATTATGTCATGTGCTATCTAATCATATCTTTATTACTAGCACATTCATAAACCTCTTCATGTATCCAAACAACAAAATCTTCCACTGTGTTATCCTTTGTGCTTTTGATCATTTGAAATTCTCTTTTTATATTATTGGCATTATATGTGTAAGCAACTTGTTGCTTTCAAATTCCTTCATATATAGCCCCAATTTATTTTACACTTGGTTGTCACCTTTAATATTTTATAAGAGTTATAGTCTGCATCTGCCATACTCATATTCACAATCACAAAGAAAGAAATTCACCTGCACCTGATTTTTGATCATTGAAAAGTATCAAACTACAAGAAAAGTGTGTAGCTTACAACTTATACGCAACGAGAAGCAGTGAATAAGAGATACAAGAATAATCATCAAATACATGAGTTCAGCAAGTACATTTTCAATAATCGCGAGTCCAAAAAATTCTACACGTGTATATATGGATCAAGTGGCAAAAAGAGGAACACCAGAGACAAGTGATCCTCGAGTGTGTACAAAGGCACAACAGCAAAACATTATGAGGGGTCTTGTGAGCAATCTTTGACCCCAAATGGCAGATAAATGGAAATGCAATTGCAGAACAACGTTGAAGAAGGAATCAACATATACTCTCCTCTATAACTTTTATCATGGAAAACTACAGGCACCCGAAAAGTATCAACTCTACAACAGAGGGTGAGTTCAATAGGCTTACCGACTAGAAAACATTCCGGATAATATGACACAAAGGTTTCTTACTTTCAGAATTGGGCTAAATTTCATTGGTATCCTCCACCGTATGGTTGTTGGCCATAGGGACCCATGCCCATTCGGGGATTGTAACCTCCCTGCATGGGAGCTCCAGGTCCAGGGGGGAATCCGGAAGGCTGTTGCATCTGAAATCCTTGACCCATGTTCATTCCCATGCCCATGTTGTTCATAGGTCTGTTCATCCCCATGCCGCCATAAGGCTGGTTCGCTCCTCCATATGCTCCCATGCCAGGACCCCCTGCCGGGCCACCACCAGCCATACCCATACCACCCATACCCATACCCATGCCCATGCCCATACCAGAACCAGCCATTGGGTTTGATGGAGCCCGTAGTGCACCTGCACCAGCTCGGCCAACTCCGGTACCTGAACCCATTGCTTTGCCCATGTTAATAGTAGAGATCACGGGGGCTGTACTGGGTTTCTCCATCCTTCTCTCCTTGCGATTAATAGCGTCAAAATCAACTCCGATATCAGCTAATGGATTTGTTTTAGCTGCATAACAAAAATTGCAATGTCATGACAAGGGAACAAAGAAAAGATATACACATAGATCACAAAAGAAAACACTTACATCCAGAAATGTTCAAATTGACCAGTCCACGGCTCAATGTATCTGCCCAAACGGTAGACTTCGTCTCGAATTTGTCTTTGGCTGGTTGGGTGTTGGCGACAAGAGCTGTCGAAGCTGGAGAAGTTTGTGTCAGCACTAGAGCATTACTTGTTTGAATTTGTGAAGATTGAAGATGCATTTGTGACGGCATGTGGGTTGCACCAGTTGGCTGTGAAAGGTAGGGTTGTCCAGCAGATGTTTGACCCATTTGGTTACCAAATGGACCTGTAGGTCCTAATCCTGTGTTGTAACCACCAGCATTGGCATTGCTCTGCACAGAGGAGCCGGCGGGAATCTGATAACCAGACTGTGGAAAGTAACCTGCTGCAGGTTGGAAACCAGATGTGGGTTGACCACCTGTGGGTCCAAAACCAGTCTGTGATGCTTGACCAGGTTGAGCTGGGTAGCCTCCATAAGATGGAGAATTGTTTGCTTGACCAGAAAAGCCCACTGGAGATGCAGTTTGACCTTGAATTGGGAAACTGGTTTGTGGAGACTGTTGACCAGGTTGAGCTGCAAAAACTGTCAGTGCTCCAGCCTGGCCAGGAGGTGCCATGTAACCTGTCTGTTGTGTAGTTGGTCCACCATAAGATTCAAAACCTGTCTGTGTTGCAGGTTGGACACTTGGTATTGCATGATCACCAGGAGGTGAAGGACCGGATGGTGGGAGAATATCAGCCAGGATATCGATCTCCTGGTTCGAGGTGGACAGCTCCTGCTGAGCATAATGCATATTAGTTGGAGCAAACTGACTATATGCTGCATTTGAGACCTCAGCACCCTGAGGGGCTGATTGAGGAAGCTCAGGGCTTTGATTTGGATTAGGATGGAAAGATGGAGTAGTGTTCTGCAGATGAGTTTGCATGTTATTCGAGGTCATAGCCCTGAAAGGACCATCACCAAAAGGATCCTCGAACATCTGCAAGAAAAGCACATATTTCATTCAGTAAGTAAATTGTGGAAGGGCAGAATCGGATATGTTGCAACACAAAACAGATGGTTAAGACATCAAATGTATTGGTTTATCCACCTGGTTAGAACCAGTAGATACTGATGATGCTTCCCCAAACGTGGTCTCAGTACCAGTGGTCCCAGATGGATTAACTTCAGAGGCAC